TATATATATATATATATATATATATATATATATATATATATATATATATATATATATATATATATATATATATATCACCTAACACATGTACGCTTGTAATTTAATAATAATTCATTCCGCTTTACCCGTCGAAGACTACAGTTAGGTAGTCGAAAGCCGCGTTGATAAGTCTAATACCCAGGGCCTCAATAGCACAGTATAAATAATGGATAAGACGATATACTAGATGTACTGCAATTAGTACTTTTGTATGTACAACTTTGTCCAGTCGAATACGTTAACAATTAATTATATTACATGAGTAGTATTCGTATATAGTTTGTAGAATTCGTGTATAATTTAATTGTATTTGTATATTTTGGTATTAGCAAAGAGCTTCTTTGCGGCCGTACTGCCAATAATTAATCGTTATTATTATATTACTATATTGCATGCTGGGGGGGGGGGTTGTTTTAGATGAACATCTTTCTTGGAAATCCCATATTAATCATGTACCAAATAAGATTTCCAAATCAATAGGAATCATGCGTAAATTTAGTTTCTTTCTTCTAAAGCAGTCATTGTTAACATTGTACTACTCAATGCCGACAATGGTGTACCCATACTTACAATAGGCCTATTGTAATAATTATTCTATTATTATTATAATAGGCCTATTGTTTGGGCGTCCACATATTCGTCTAATTTATCTCGTCTGGTAATTCTTCAAAAACGTATTGTTAGAATTATAAATAATAGTGGATTTGATTCTCGTACAAGTTTGATTTTTAAGAATCTTCGGCTATTAAAATTTAATGACATTCGCATATTACAAACAGGACATAATTTATTTATTGAACTTTCTCTGACTAAATATTTATTTCTACGAGCTTTCGGCTATCAGTCTATAGTCTTCGACGGGTGTATACAAATGATTCTATAAAGGACGCTGAACTTAAGTAGGGGGTATGAAACATGAGACTATCTATGCTATGTTACAAATGAGGAATATAAATATTTAATTAATGTTTCTTGAGTTCCTTTCTTAAAAGTATTGTGTATTGTGCTGGAAGCGTATTAGAGTTATTATCAACTTCGTCCGTTAGTGCAGTGTGTATTATCAGCTTCGTCTGTTAGTGCAATGCAAGGTTTTAAGGTTCCTATGATTTCCCTTGTCTATCAATTACATTAGCATTGGCAAAGTCAATAATATGATCTTGAGTCCATGCGTGTTTCGCGACGTTCGACCCCTTCTTGCTGTGTTTTACATTCCTCACGTGTTCGGACTTTCTCGTCTTCAGGGATCTTCCTGTTTCGCCTATGTAGCTCCAACTGCAATCTTGACACGGTATCTGGTAGACCACGTTCTTCTGCTCTTCTGTTGGTGGTTTCTGTTTTGCAGATGGGAATTGGCGTTCGAGGGTTTTCATTGGCTTATTATAAACTTTAATGTCATGTCTTTGGAGTGTTCTGGCTAGAGGTTCGGTTAGTCCTTTGATATATGGTAGAACCGCAATTCCTGCAGATGGCGCCTTTCCTTCAACCAGTTCGAAAAATGACCCTAACTCTTCAGGACTTGCTACAGTTTTGTTCTTATGTTTTTTTATTAATCCTGAAATTAATTTCTTCGGATAACCATTTGATGTCAGGACTGTGGTTACATGATTTAGTTCTCTTTCTTTGCTTTCGTTAGTGGTAGGAAGTGACAAGGATCGGTTGATAAGTATTGTTGCAGTACTAATTTTATGCTTTTGGTCGTGGTGTGATAGGTAGTTTAAGACTTTAAGTAACGGTCTGTGTGAGTGCACTGTAAATTTCAGGGAGTTAATTTAAGTCCAGTGGTATTATTCTAAACCTAATTTTACTCCACATTTGGAGTTAATTGAGGTACAGTATAACTCCACCGGAGTTAAGTTAACTCCCTGAAATTAACAGTGTGGGTTTGCGGTAAACGTCAATAAAAATTAAGGACAGTTTATGTTGAAGAAAGGGCATTTCGAAAGTATGTTTTACATAATTAATATGCAAGTGCATAATTATGATACTAGGAGGGCTAATGAATTTCAAATTATAACACCTAGAACAAATGTACGACAATTTTTAATAAAGTGTCAAGGTCCATTCCTTTACAACAGTTTGGATATGTACATTGTAAATAGTAAATCGCTTTCTTCTTTTACAAGAAAATTAAAAAATTACTTGCTCACCTTATATTAATTAATTAGCATATCTGTATTGATCATAAGTTTGATAATTTATATTATTCATTTGTAATTAAAATTTAGAAATATGAGGTTTGATATTAAATAAGCCTAATGGTTTCAAATCAAACCTCGTCACATAATCCTATTTGTAAAATTATATATTATTATTACTTATATCATACATTACCGTAATTTATTATAATTTCATTACTGTATGTAATTGTGTAACAAATTAAATTCATTAAAAAAAATAATAAATTCATTCATTCATGTAGATAGTCACATGTAGCTATACTTATAGTTATTTGTTAGTTTACGTTACGTTTTGTTGGGACCGCAGTTAGCTAACCGCTGTCGCCGACACCCTGCATGCCAGATAAATTAATTTTATGATCCAATGTATTTATTGAATTTGAAAGCACTTGCCAAGAATGTTTTCATTAATCAAGTACGAAAGTTAGAGGGTCGAACACGATCAGATACCGTCCTAGTTCTAACCATAAACGATACCGACTAGGGATCAGCGAGTGTTAAATAAAAATGTTTTTATCTACCACTGTTCATATGTCGTCATGCAGGGATTATTCTAAGGAAATTTTATCACTGCACAAAAGCGCGAAAAAATGATAAAATTTATATCAATTTAGCGACATTTTAGAAAACGTTCTCACAGCCCTGCATGAGTGCACGTATTCTGGTTCTGCAACTTGCATGTCACTAATTACAGTATATGCAGGCAAATGACACAAAGTCACTGCTAATGAGCCCAAATCTGCATTCTGCATATTCTATTTCATGCAAAAATATACACATTTAAAATATTTTTTGAATCGCATGCAAAACACAAGCAATATTGCTCAAGATCTTGTCTTTCACACTCATAAAATAGATTAATTATAAACTGTTGAGTGTTACCAAACAGCGTCAAAAATCTCAAAACAAAATTGCTCGGCAGCAGTTTAACCGTATGAAGATGACATAAAGGTGATTTTCTTGAACACGACTTGCCTGCTAGGAGAAAGTGCTCGATTAGATTAAAAATTTTCCACCGAAACAACTTTTGAGTTAAGTACTTTCACGCTGTATATTCCCAGTAAAAACAGAAAGCCATTGTATGTGGATTATATGCAAAGTGGTCATTTTGTCACCAATTTCTGGTGAACAATATCGCATTTTATCACTGCACATAATCTAATTTATCACTGCACAAATCACATTTATCACTGCACAAATTGGTTATCACTGCACCTTAGAATAATCCCTGTCGTCATGAGAATGACGATATTGAGGAAGGCTTCAGATTCGACTTCCCCTAACACTACTGCTATCTCTCTGAGAACTGGGTTATAATTTGATTGGTTAATCGGGTAAATTAATTAAACGCACCTTATTGGTTAATGATAGCGGTAGTGGAAGTTAAATATTTGCGTTTTACTCAAATATTTGAGTTGATTTTACGCAAACTTGCTTAATTCTTTTGCGGTGATGGGGAAGGCTTTGTTACTTCAACTATCAATTACCTGGTGGTGGTGGCCCACATCCTTTTTGCTTTAACAGATTTAGCGGTTCCTTTGAACCGATTTCTTTTGTAACTTTTGTGATATCTTTCTCTGGATCAAGCAAGAATAACCGGACAGAAAGTTTGCTTGTTTCTCGTACTCGTTTCCTTGTGTTTGATGAAGGATAATTGGCCATTGCTGTATAGGTTACATGTTATTTAATAACATAATTTTCCAAGTCAATAAGTTTTGGTTAAACCATAATGAAACACTCGAACTAATCCAGTGATGCAATAGTTTAATTCTTCCAACTAATATCCTCAATTAAGCCCCTTTTTGCCTAATAAAAAGTAGAAAAAATACAAACCAAATCACAAAAAGACAAGGTACTTTGTTAAAAACTTAGTCGCCCAGGCGATTGCATCACGTAATAAACACCATGTAGCTTGAGAGGTCTTAAGCACGAAACGATAAGATAATTTTTATTATTATATGAATAAAAGTATTTTATTGGAAACTAAAACACTCGTATTAATCATACGCCACTACATCGGGGACGACCGGGAGTTGAGTGGCGTA